ACTGGATATGCTGCAGGCTGATTTAACATCCTCATAAATCTATACCATGCCAAGTTGTTATATTTTGTAGAAATATAAACGTTTTCTCCAAGGTCTTCTATTCTATTGATTTTAACAGTTGCATTTTTCCTGTCATAAATAATATCGAGATGGTATTCTCCTTCGTCAATGTTATACTGCTTTGCATATTCGATATAGATATCGTTTATTTTTTCTTGAAAAGCTTGAAGAGTTGTTTCTAAGTTTACAAGCAAATTCACTTGTAAAAGTTTTCCCTGTTCAAATTTCTCATACATACGTTTTTCTTTGTTATAGTATCGAACTTCAAAACCGACTGTAAATGGGAAACCATGTATGGCTTCTGAAATGAACTTCATTCTACGAAAGCCAATAGCTTTTGTGACGGATGGGTCTCTTAACCATCTTAACGGGTAGTCAAAACGATAGCCTTCATGCTTTACGGTCTCTGTCTCAAACTTTTGACCGACATTAGTAAAAAGTTCATCTAATGGTTTAGTTGTAGCAACTCTAGAATTTTCTTTTTCTATTGAAAGCATATTTTATCTATAATAAAAATGTCAAATGAAACAGCGTCTATGAGAGAAATACAACACAACCGACAACTCATTATACAAGCTCTAAATAAGAACACAACAAACTTTTCAAACTATTCTAAGATATCTGAGTCATTGAAAGAAGGAAACTTAAAACTGACATTAAACCCAATGACAGATGAGTTTCTGTTTCAAGACAAGAAGAACAATACTGTCTGTATAAATCCAACAAAAGGAACTTTAAACGAGAAACCTATAAATGAACTTCTTTTGAAAGCAGATGTTGACAACAAAGCAGACAAAACATATGTAGACGATGCAATAGCAAAAGAAGAAGAAAGAGCTGACAAAGCTTATGCAACAAAAGAACATACTCATCCTGAACTAGCAGACAAAACATATGTTGACAATAAAATGTCAAGTGAAGTGACAAGAGCTGAAAACGAATATTCTAAAAAGACTCATACACATACCATTGCAAATATTACAAACTTACAAGAAACCTTAAACAGGAAAAGTGACGTTGGACATACACATACCATTGCAAATATTACAAACTTACAAGAAACCTTAAACAGGAAAAGTGACGTTGGACATACACATACCATTGCAAATATTACAAACTTACAAGAAACCTTAAACAGGAAAAGTGACGTTGGACATACACATACCATTGCAAATATTACAAACTTACAAGAAACCTTAAACAGGAAAAGTGACGTTGGACATACACATACAAGTTTTACAACTGTTGCTATAGAAAATATTGCAGGAACGGTTGAAGAACCTGATGGGGATGTATTATATTTTAAACCTCCTAACTTTCCACAAGGTTTAACATCGGATGAAAACATAACAACGATGAAATACATTAGATGTAGAAATGTTTATGTCATGGAGGATGAAAATAACGTTAAATTCACTGCTCAAGATTTATATGAGAAGAAAGCAGACAAAACAGAGCTTCAAACATTAAAGACAGAAATACTTCAAACATTATATCCTATAGGCTCTATTTATACGTCAATGAACTCTACCAGACCAGAAGTAGTACTTGGTTTTGGAACTTGGACTCAAATAGTCGACAGGTTTTTGTATTGTGCAAACTCTTCAAAGGAAACAGGTGGAAGTAAAACGATTTCAGGTGAAAATTTACCTGCACACAGTCACTACATAGATTTAAGTACATCTCAAGCAGGTTGGCATAAGCATAGATATTGGGATTGGTCAGCAATGACAAAAGGTAAAGGATATGATGTTAAAGACAACGTTAAGTTTGCTATAAATTGTTACTGGAGTAACACTGAGGGAGGAGGAAACCATACACATCGCGTTTCAGGGTATACGCAAACAACGGGACAAAGTAAAGACTACATGCCACCTTACATGACAGTTTACGCATGGTATAGAATTGCTTAGTCGTCATTTTCAACTTCTTTAGCATATTCGTCAGGAGTTGTCTTATATTTGTTAGGAACTGTCTTTGAAAGTATACCACCTTGAACTTTGACAAGTTTGAAACGAGGTCTGACAATAGTAGTTTTATCTTCTGCTTGCAGTGTGTACATTTTGCCATGTTTGCCTAAAACTTCATAATATTCTCTTGTATACTTTCTTCTATTTTTACGAACACGAACGTGAGTACCTGTCGGGTTCCCATTGTTGTCATAGTCAATAGTATTTTCATATGGGTCGCGTTTAGGTATTTCTATTTTTACTTTGTCACCTTTCTGAAGTTTGAAGCCCGGCATTCTTTCTTGTTTGTCTCTTTTGACTAAATTATTAAATATATAGTCTTTCTCTAAGTCGGGGTTGTTTTTCATTTCTTCGGGGGAGTGGTTTCCCAAACCTTTTTGTTTACGGCTATTGTAAATATTTAAAACTTGTCTCATCTTTGCCATGGAGAAGTGTCTATACTTGTCGTCATATGACATTTCATTTGCTTCACCACCTTGTGGTTGGTTTAAGTCTCTTAACATTTTTATACAACCGTCAATGACACCAAGAGCAGAATGGTTTTGGTCGACAATGAAATATTGGTTTACATTTTTTGAACGCAGATAGTTTTTTACATCATCTGATTTGAAAGAACTTTCACAGTCAGATGTCAGTTTTGTTGGATGGTATTTGTCAACGAATATTGTCAAAGCAGTTTTCACATCTAAAATATTTTTGGACCATAATGGTATGGCTTCACAGTATCTTGTGTTTTGACCGACAAATATTAGCCAGTATGGTGGTCCATCTGTTCTAACTCTCGGAATGTTTTCCAAGATATCCATAAACCAAGCATTTGGTGTTGAACTAAAGATTTTTATCATGAGTGCTTTCTTTGTCGCTTTAGAAACATAGGGGTCCTTGTTTGAATTCGTCATTTTTTAACCCATAAGAAATGGGTTTATTTGGCGCATTAGCAGGAGTTGCATCCAGATTTTTGCCCGCAGTGGGAACAATAGCCAGAGGTGTATTTGGAGTTGGAAGGAAGATTTTGAGTACATTAGGTATACTTAAAGAGAAAGCACAACCTATTATACAAACTGTACAGAAAGGTTGGGATGTAGCACGAGATGCAACAAATCTTATTCCAAATCCTGAAACAAGAGGAAAAGTTCAAGGATGGATGGACAATGTAGGAAGACAAGCAGGAAACTATTATAACAAAGCAAATGACTACTATAACCAAGCAGGACACTATATGGACCAAGGTGAAAGATTCTTTAACAGAGGATATAACCATGCACAACAGTGGGTAAACAATAACCAACCTCAACCACCTCAAACTTGGGGAATGTAAAATTTTTTACTGAGATGAAATGAACAATACAGCATTGAGACAAATGGGTTCAAGATGGATTTGTCGGCTTCCAGCAGTTACACAACGTGTTTGTCAAGTTCTTCCTATACCTCAGGAAGTTTTAGACCGACTTAAAAAACCTCAACAACCAGTTGAAAACAAACCAAACTAAAATTTTTTACTGAGATGAAATGACCGAAGAAGTTGAAACGGTAGATTTGACACCACAAACAAAAAGTTCAGAACCATTGTCAAAACCCGTCAAAGAACTTACAGATGAAGAGAAAAATTCAATAATAGAAAGTGCCAGGTCTGGAAATACAAACTCTAACTATAAAGTCACTTTTCATAAAAATGGAACGGCAAGTATCTCAAAAAAGAAACAGACTCTCACAAATAAAATATTGAAGTCTGAAGGAGCTTTCGAGACAACAGATGGAAAAGTTTACTTCACTGACCAACAGTTCATTATAGAACATCTCATTGACTTAGAGTCGAAATATTCTAAACTTTACAACAAACACAAAAAGTTGAAAGGAAAACAAAAACAAATGGCATATGATATTTATGAAGATGTTGACGACACAACTGTTCCTGCAAGTGAAGTAAAGTCAGAGGAACCGAAAAGTGACGAAAAACCGATAGAAGAAGAAAAACCAAAAACTGAAGATAAACCAAAACAAAGTTTAGTTTGGAAACTAAACCAAGTCAACCTTCATTAGCTGGTATGGGTTGGCGTCAAAGACTTATGGCAGCAGGCGGTTATGTAAAGTAAAGAAAAAAATATTTTTTTATTTTTATAAAAATGCCCCCATATAGAATGGATAGAAAATCTGCTAGAATAAAAGCAGAGTTACAAAGATATGGTTGGAGAGTTTCGAAGAAGTTTAAATATAGGAAGGGAAGACCCATAAAAGTCTATGACAAATTGTCTGGTCTTCGCTACGAAATGGATTTGGAAACAGCACGTGCCAATTATCCAAACAGACTAGAGAGGTTAGAAGAAGAACGTCTTATGGACATGCCTTTCGATGTTAGTGAACCTCAAGTTGAAGGACACGACGGCTTTGCCAGATTCTACTGGAAACATGACGAACAATTGCATCCTTTGAGAAGGAAAAAGGAAAAGGTGAAGACGCACATGCTCCCATGAAAAGAACAAGATATGCATATGAGAAGTACCGTGAAGTTAGAAGTCAAATTACTTCTGGTCGAACCTTTACAGTAAACTTTGACGAAGGAAAGAACAAAGAAGGCTTCATGGGTGTACTTGCTGCCATACAAGACGGAAATAAGAAAGGACACAATCTCAGATTGACCATAACAGATTTGGATGGTCACATTTACTATGCATATGGCAATGTCACAACAGCTGCAATGCTTCTTGACGCTTTCAAGACTACAAAGAGAGAACAAATGGTTGACTCCGACTCAGACATTTTGAATGCAATTGAAGGAATTGCAAGTGTCAAGTTCGAATGGTACCAACCTAACCTCAAGCAGTCAGACAACATGCTGGATACTTCCCCTTCAGAAATAAGTCTGACATTGACTTGACAAGGTATGGAATTTACAATTCAATTGAAACAATTGTCAATGAACCTTGCATTCTTACATGTCTCAGGAACTCTGGTCTTGTTACAGATGAGAAAATGAAGTATCTTGAGTCATGTGTGAAGACAAGGTACATTCTCAGAGGTCAATTGGCAAAAATTGCACCGTTGGCAAATGTCAATATCCGAGTCAACATACCTACAGCTAAAGGTTCTTCACATGACGACTATGTTGTTGACAAAGACTTACCATGGTTGAAGATTGTAATTGTCCACAACCACTTCATGTTGAACGAAAGTCTTACAAACCCATTGTTCGGAAAAGGCAAGTGCAACATTGTCAGAGCTGTAAACATTCTTTTCGAGAAAGGTTTGTTGGAACCAATTCCAGATGACAAGCTGACAGAAACTTTTGTACCAAAAGACGAAACAAACTTTTCATTGTTAGCAAGACCAAAAGTTGTTCCAGACAAAGTTCTAGTACAAAAGAAGTACACAGTTCCACAAGGAGTTGGATTGTTCGGATACCAACCTGAACCAGAAGAACTTCCAATGAGGTTGCAAGAACTTCAAGATGCTATAAACAAACTTCCATTGAGACATCCAATTGACGTCAAATTGTATTGGAGAGCATCTGAGTTAGGTCAGAAGGTTTTATATGAAACAGGTTGCTTCGACGATGTTTATGAGATAACAGGAGAAGTTTCTCAGAAGATAAGAGACTCACTTGAATTTCCACAAACTGGACCAATTGGTTGCGACAAGTTCGACTCAAACGAAAAGATATACAATGTCGACCTTAACGCTGCATACATGAGGTTTGTCCAATATATTCCGACTGGAATTCCAAACGAAGATGGTGAGTTCCCGGGAAGGAACTATACAGTTGGAAAAGTCATACAACAACTGTATGATATTAGGAAAGCTTCAAACCCCAAACTTGCAATGACACTCAAATTGCTTATGAATTCGACATGGGGATATTCCATTAAGAAACCTCAAGAGATGAAGAGTAAACATTATGAGAAGGTCGACAACTTTGTTGAAAGGTTTTCTCCTTTTGTTTTGAAGTACGAATTCACTCAAGGTCAAAGTGGCTTAGTAACCACATTAAAACCTATTGTCGAACATTGGTCTTACCCTCAGTTCGCAAAGGCAGTCCTTGACAACTACAACAAATTCTTCTCCGAAGTAAAATCCAAAGTCAAGGTTTACTATGAGAACATTGACGCACTCATGACGAACGAAGAAGGATACAACAAACTCATTGAAATGGGCATGGTCGGTGAGAAGATGGGTCAATTCAAATTGGACAAAATTTTCACCGAAGTTCATGCCCTCTCCAAGCGTAAGTACTGGGGCATACTTGAAGACGGCACAGAAATAAAACATTGCATGAAATAAAAACGTTTTTCAAAAAAGTGACATTTTTTAAATTTTATTTGAACTGTACGCTGAGTTTGTTGGAGAAGACCGTTGGGAAACTTGTTTGTTAGATGAGAAATATGAAATGGCATACCATTTTAAAACAATATATTTTTACATATATTAAATGCTTCAGGTTGAAAAACAAAGAACAAAAGTAGCAGATACAAAACCGTTAGACTATATCTATACAAATGCTGGTAGGACTATTTCAGATGAAGAAATTTCATCCCGAGCATACAGGTTTGACTATCCAGTTCGTTGGCTTCAAAGTCCTTCAGATGCAAAGGCAATAGGATTTAGAAGAGTTTTGTTTTCAAATAGAACTAACGCGTTTATGTTCGCAGTATATTTTCATGGGCAGTATAAAGGTTCTGATGGTCTAATAGACAAATTTGACGAAATGAGAATCTTTACAGTTCGTTCAGACGAAAGTCTTGAGAAAACTCTAAATGACTTTCAAACTCAAATGAACAAATACTATTGGGAATTTCAAGAAAAATACGACTCTTTACTAAATGGAACATACTATCTGAAACTAGAATATGACAAGATGAACTCCACCGTTTCATTTCAAAAGATCGAAATTAACCCTCCAAGAGATACAGAGTTTTTATTTTGGAAAGTAGACAAACGTTCTTGGGCACAATTTCTTCGGTTACTAAACCAGAACGAACCATTACCACCGATGGTCCATTTAAATTTATACTTCCACCAGCAGATTTGACAGTTTATAGAAACGTGTTTGACCCTCAAAATGTTATGTGCCATGCAAGTTTCAGTTCAAGCAACAATAGTTTTCTATGTATCGGTAAGGACTTTTATGACTTTGCTTCTAAATTCTACGAACCACCTAGTAACAGTTTCTCTGACTTTCAAGTTTGGTTCACAACAAATGGTGTGCAACATATAATACCATTGTACTATGACTTTTATCTCGAATTGTCTTTCATATACAACTACGGAAAAGTGCTGAAAAAGTGAGTTTATGTTAGCATGTTAGATCTCACCTCTTTTCTCACCTCTTTTCTCACCCGTTGAATTTTGTATAAAAACCAACCGCCGGAATTCCGGCGGTTGCTATATTCTTCACAAAATGCTTGTTTTGAGGTCGAGCCACTTTTGGCTCCACCGTATTCTTTCAACCAAAACTCATGAAATTTGGTCATTTTTCAGCAAAAATATATTTTAGGTGAAGAGGTGAGATCTAACCTGTTTTTTCACCTGTTTTTTCACCCGTTGAATTTTCATGAATTTCCTTAAGATAGAAAAAAAGTGAGTTAAAATGAGATGTTTACTGAAGGGGTCACTCGGTCACTCGGTCATTTAACATCCTTTAAAAAATGAGACAACATGACATTTTGACAACAGTCGGGAAAATGTCAAGACTTCTTCATCGTAACGAGTGTAAATGAACCAAAAATATATTTTATGTTAGCATGTTAGATCTAACACGTTTTCTAACCTCATTTCTAACCTCATTTCTAACCTCATTTCTACCATCGTAGAAAACTCTCGAAATTCATGAGTTTTGTGTGTTTCCTTAAGATAGAAAAAATAAAAATATATTTTATGTTAGCATGTTAGATCTAACACGTTTTCTAACCTCATTTCTAACCTCATTTCTACCATCGTAGAAAACTCTCGAAATTCATGAGTTTTGTGTGTTTTCCTTAAGATAGAAAAAATAAAAATATATTTTATGTTAGCATGTTAGATCTAACACGTTTTCTAACCTCATTTCTAACCTCATTTCTACCATCGTAGAAAACTCTCGAAATTCATGAGTTTTGTGTGTTTTCCTTAAGATAGAAAAAATAAAAATATATTTTATGTTAGCATGTTAGATCTAACACGTTTTCTAACCACTTTTCTAACCTCATTTCTACCATCGTAGAAAACTCTCGAAATTCATGAGTTTTGACACTTTCACAAAAAACATAAAAAATAAAGTTAGTTTTTTTAAAAAAATATTTTTTATTTTTATTGTAAGAACATGTTAGCAACAACTTCACCAAACTCTTTAGTCATGAACCCAACATCTATGTTAGTAGAAATGAAAAGCTTCATTCCTTCTTCATATACTTTCGAAACAGAAATCCAGAAGATAAAGCAAGAACTTCTCCAAGGAGATTTAGATTGCACTGCAAAAGATGAAACAAATGAACAATATCTTTATGAAATGCAGGATATTATTGACCATCTACCTAAACTTCCTGAAATACAACAACAAAAGCTCACTATTCCAGAATTTGAAGAAATAGAAGTCAAAGCAACTGACTCGGTAGAAATAAAGAAGTTCATACGTAAGGTTAACTATGAGTTTCTTGGATTTCATTGCAACCACAAAGTCATGGACAAAGACTGCGATATGGTATATTAGAACATCATTGACATATATAAATCTGAAGAATTTAAGACCTACGACAACTTTGTTTCGTTAGTTGCAAAATGTGTATGGCAGATAAGAGATAAAGATAGAAGAGGTAAAGTATGGAACGAACAAATAAAACCAGCAACTTTTGAGTTAAAGAAAACCATTGACGCCTTAGTTGTTCTAGCAGGTCAAATTTCAATGTACAATGCTAAAATGAACCCACAATGTTCAAAATGTAAAGCAGCAATGAGGAAATATAACTACTCCGTCAAAGAGATAGAACGTATGCGAAACGACTATGCTGATTAAAGAAAGAAGCAGAGAACCAGCAGAAGATAAAATGGACATGTTGACATTTCTGAACAAAAACTATCCAACTGCTGACGATTTCCTTCTTTCAGATGTCAAGAAGAAATATAAAGATACATTCAATATTGTGAAAACTTTTGATATCCTTCGTGAAGAAATAGAAGCTACAAAACTGTTTAAAGTCATGAACCATCGCAACATATACCAATGTAAAACGCTTGTAAATAGTTATGTTAGAAAAAGTGGTTAGAAAACGTGTTAGATCTAACATGCTAACATAAAATATATTTTTGCTGAATTCTGTATAAAATTCTGAGTAAAATGGCATATGGAACACATACTTTTTCAGTAAGGACATATGGGGTAGAAAAGAGGTGAGAAAACGTGTTAGATCTAACATGCTAACATAAAATATATTTTTGCTGAAAAAAATGACCAAATTTCATTATATAACTGTTATGAGTGACGAAGAGAACTTTGACACTTCGTAAAAAAAATCCCTGAAATCATATCTTTTATACAAAATTCAAGAGGTGAGAAAAGAGGTTAGAAAAGTGGTTAGAAAACGTGTTAGATCTAACATGCTAACATAAAATATATTTTTGTCTGATTTACGCTCATTACGATGAAATCATGACAAAACATATACGATGAAGTTCATTTCCTGTGTTGTTGTCAAAATGTCATGTTGTCACCATTTTCAAAAAGGATGTTAGTTGACCGAGTGACCGAGTGACCTGGTGACACCTAAAAACCATCTACCCTAAAATATATTTTTGCTGAAAAAAATGACCAAATTTCATGAATTTCCTCATATGTTTGCTACCCGAGGAAAACCGAGGGTAGAGATTCCGTACGAAAATCGTAAAAAAATGACCAAATTTCATTATATAACTGTTATTTTTTTACGAAGAGAACTTTGACACTTCGTCAAAAAAATCCCTGAAATCGTGAAAAAATGACCAAATTTCATGATATAACTGTATTTTTTTTACGAAGAGAACTTTGACACTTCGTCAAAAAAATCCCTGAAATCGTAAAAAAATGACCAAATTTCATGAATTTCCTCATATGTTTGCGACCCGAAGAAAACCGCGGGTCGAGATTCCGTACGAAAATCGTAAAAAAATGACCAAATTTCATTATATAACTGTTATTTTTTTACGAAGAGAACTTTGACACTTCGTCAAAAAAATCCCTGAAATCGTGAAAAAATGACCAAATTTCATTATATAACTGTTATTTTTTTACGAAGAGAACTTTGACACTTCGTCAAAAAAATCCCTGAAATCGTAAAAAAATGACCAAATTTCATTATATAACTGTTATTTTTTTACGAAGAGAACTTTGACACTTCGTCAAAAAAATCCCTGAAATCATATCTTTTATACAAAATAAAAAAAATAACGTTAGTTTTTTTAAAAAAATATTTTTTATCTTGTATGTAAAGACAGAAAAATGACAAACACTGAGTTTGAAACAGTTAGAAAGATAGACAATGACACCAAATTGGTTAGAATAGGTGATTTAAACGTAAGATACTCAAAGAAATACAAGAAATATTCTTTGTCAGACATTATATCTCCATCTGGAAAGAAAACACACGACTGGGTTGGAATTGCTTCAACTCAGAAAATTTTGACAAGAAATCCTGAGCTTATGATATCAGTAGCATTTCATGGAACAAGAGCATATCGCATCGACAAAAGTCTTATACCAATAGTTTTGTTATGGTTAGACCCAGTTGTTGGATATAACTTCATAACATATGGTTCATTCGATACGGAACGTTGCAGTGAAGGCTTACTTTACATCGTTCAGAAACCGAAGGACTTCAATACAAAGAGATATAAGATAGGAAGAAATCATAATATAACTCAAAGATATGACAGTATAGTCAATAGAGTCAAGGTTGTGTTTGTTAACGATATGAGAGCTGCTGAAACAGAACTGCTTGAAGTTTTTGAGAAAATGTATGGTGCTCCCACGAAAGGTAAAGAAACGTTTGAAGTAGATGAGATAGGTAAAGCTATAAAATTATTTGACGAAGTTGCTGAAAAATACATGTAAAGCGTTTATTTTTGGTCTTTTGTGAAAGTCAGGAAATAACGCTAATTTTTTATAAAATATTTTTTTATTTTGTATGTAAAGACAGATATGACAACAACAGAGAACACAACAACTGCTATCGTTCATGAAGCCATAAATGAAGAATACGAGTGGGTTCAGTTTAACAAACAACTCCGTCTCATTCGTTCGGTCAAAGACGATATGTACCAAATGCAAAGTATTTTGACAGCATGTTATGCTCCAGATACTAAGCTTCCTAAAGACTGGTTTAGGAACCAAAGCACTATTGAACTTTTGAGCGAAGCACAGCGAGACAGACTTTTTTCTGAAAACAGTGAAGAACAGCGAGTAGGTAAAAAACCCCAGTCGCCAAAACTCTATGAAAACAGTGAAGAACAGCGAGTAGGTAAAAAAACCCAGTCGCCAAAACTCTATGAAAATCGTGAAAATTTGCCAAATGGTTTGAGAGGCTGGTATGTACATAGACTTCTTGTAAATGCTGTTGCAATGTGGGCTTCGCCTCGTTATGCTTGGTATATTTACAGACTTCTTGACGAAATTCATAGACAAGAACGTGAAGAGCTAGAGAACAAGCTTGAAGCAAAAGACAAAAACATTCAGAAAAGAATACCACGTTCGGTACCAAAAGGAAAGGAAAAGAACTATAAGTATATGATTTATACTGAAGAGATGGAAAATGAAGAAGACAGAGATATGGTTATGTTGCATTTAGTCAGAAGAAACAACAAAAGCTTTTACGACCTTGCTAAGATTTACAAATCTGACAGAAATTGGTTCTATCGCGAAAACTTACCGATTTCAATGACACCAAATGATGATGTGAAACAAATAGTTCAAGATACGTTACCTCAAACACACTATGATATTAAAGGTTGTACAATACTTACCTTCAAAGAAGATTTGCCGCTACTGAAAGAAAAAATAACAGAGTATTTTGACAACTTCAAAAAGAGTAAATGAACCATTTATTTTTCAAGCTTGACTTCAGATGGCTCAGGTAGCTCTATAAGGTAAATTGTCTTGTCAAATCCTTCTGGCATTCCGAGTCCTTCCATCCGACAGGGAAAAAATTTCCCGACAACTGGAAAAAAATTTCCCGACAACTGGAAAAAATTTTCCTGTTGTCCGTCCGTAAACCATTCAAATTTTCGAAAATTGAGAACTTTTTGGTCGAACGACAGAAAAAATTTTTCCTTCCGACAGGAAAAAATTTTCCCGACAACTGGAAAAAATTTTCCTTCCGACAGGACACAAACGGATGACTGACGTTCCTCTTCCTGAATGTCTTCCAAAGCCAGAAGAACCGACAGCCCCAGCACCACAACAGACTAAGACCAAACACTTACATTTTTTACGCTTGACCTTTTACAATTTGAACTTTGTTTGCGTAGATATGAATTCTGAAAGAAGTATGAGGGTCTTGTATGACTTTGTACTTCTCCCATAGTTCATGTCTGTCAAACTTACCTGCCATGGACTCTTTCATAAGTTCCATGAAATCGTCTTCGGACAATCCGGGGAAAAGTACAATGTCAGTAAGTATTCTCTTTACATCCTTACTTAAACTCTTTGCTGTCTGTACACAAATGACAACAGAGATGTTAAAGTGTCTGAGCTTCTTAAGAATTCGACACATGTCTTGTTCTCTATTCTTTAACAAAGGATGAGAAGCAAAGTCATCTAAGATAAGAAGACATCTATGAGGGTATGTCTTCCAATCGTAAGATTGCAATTTCTTCGAAATGTATTCTATCTCTTTCTGTTTGTTTCTGAAGTGTTTCTTCTCTAATATTCTCTGCATTTCCTCATTTGGGTCTTTAAACTTCGAATTTATATACTCATTTATAGCATTGTACTTCAAAACCCTTCTTTGGTACTTCTTTATCCAATCTAACAACTCAGAGTCTTTTATACATACTAACTTAGACTTCTTTATAATATCTTTGAACGAATTGACGGTTTGGTCAAATTGACCAGAAGTACTACAAATGACAACTAACTCATAGAATGGGTTCTTCTCATCTAGTTCTTGTTGTTGTGCAGCCATTTTAAGATAAGTGAAAGTCTTACCCGACCCAGGTGGTGCAATTAGACCTGTTATACCATTCTGAGCAAATAAGAACTTGTCATGTATGGGTTTTATCTGAGCATTTTCCAACTTCCTCTTGTTCTTATTTAAAACATTCTCAAATTTTTTGTCAATGTCAGCAAACTTTTTTTCTAACATATTTTTAGAAAAATTAAAATTTTTATCTTTTAGAAAATGTCTAGCGATTTCGCTATCTATATTCGAGATAAACTTTTCGACAGCAAAACATCTGTCGACCATAAAATCTTACATAGTGTAAACAAGAAAGGTGAATTTGTTCTAAAGTTCTGTTTCTGGGAATATGACAAGAACCATAAAACATTAAGCAGAGCAGTCTTAAAATTTGTCAATGACAGACTTGTTGACAGAGATGACGCCTCTTGGAGAGATGAAGTCCAACAAAACTTCTTAGAATGCAAAGAAGACACATGCGCTGTTCTTGAAGATGAAATAGAAAACAGAATAGAAGAGCTATTAAAGGACAAAGAACTTTTACAAAAATATGGTTCTGAGAAGTTTGACATAACTCCACCAGAAAAGAAGAAGAGAGAAAAGAAAGAAAAGAAAGTAGAAGAAGAGAAGAAAGAACCAGAGCCAGAGAAGAAGAAATTTGACATGTAAAAATAAAATTTTATTTTTAGAACATTTCTGGGTCAATGTCAATGTTCTCTTCCTCTTTAGGAGCAAACACTGGCTTAGACTCTAAAATCTTTTTACCCAATTTACCTTGAACTTCTACAACTTTAGACTCATAATATTCATAGTCGTCTGCTTTCTTTGGTTCATAAGGTATAACAAGTTTGTATGCTTTGCCTTCTTTAAGGTTTGAGAACCTTCTGTCAAAACTTTCTTTGACTGCTAACAAACCTTCTATGTCTAAGTCTTCAAATTTCGCACCATTTTTAGTCACAATAGCAAACTTAACTGGTTCGATGTTCCAAACTTTGCTGAATGAAGACTTTTCAAAATGGTAGAAGTAAACATTCAAATATGTGAATGGGTCTAGTTCTTCTTTGACTTCTGTCATGTACTTGTTTACTGAGATGAATTTCGTCATCTTTTCTATCGGATAAAAAATATTTTTTTTTAAAATTTACTCAGAAAAATTTTTCTTTGTATATACACCATTCTGTACGTCTAAAAGACTTTTGACATTTGCCAAGAATGTTCGTTTAGACGCTGTCATATAACCATATTCTTGACAATATTGTTTATACGAATCGTACAATGACCTTTCATCTAATGACACAAAGTCAGTTTCATCTATGAACAGTTCATATACACTCTTGTTTGCTTCTAACAATGTTTGTCTCTCTTCGGTATGTGGAATTTGTCTTGGATTGAACTTAGAAATATCTAATGTCATGAAATATGAGAACAAGTGGTTGTAAAAGTCAGATGTCAAAGTTTCTGACAAAGCGTCAAAATATTCTGTATCTTGCATATGAGAATCTGACGTTCTGACAACTACATATCTTCTGTCAGAACTTTCTAACTTCATCGGAACAGCATTGTTTGAAACCATAACGAAGTTTGCAACATTTTCACAAACTCTTTGGTCTTTATATTTTCTTTCAACAACTCCAACTTTGTCTGTTATAAGACTCTTCAAAGCATCTGAGTTCAAAACTTTTGTTGTATCTATACTTTGAAGTTCGTTACATACTATAAGTTTCATATTCTCTATTGAAGAGTTAAATTTACCGCAGATGTTTTCTAAGTTTGTCATATTCGGATTCGAATAGCCCTCTAACAGTTTGCATAAGATATCTGTAAAGAAAGTGTTCTTACCTGTTCCTTGTTTTCCAATTATAATGAGAGCAGTTTCATTTTTAGCACTTGGATGTTGTAAGATGTTTGCAAACCAACATAAGATATACTCATAGACTCTTTCGTTTCCATTGCATATAATTTCTTTGACATGGTCTAACCAAGCTTCTATAATATTTTCTTTCCATTCTACTTGTTCGTATTTATATCCAGTGAAGATAGAATAGAAGTTTGGAGAAGGTGTATAGAACTTTATACCTCGAACTGAAAAATCTTCTAACTTTGACAATAAGATATCCCAAGCATCTAACATCTTCATGCCAACTTGTACAACTTTTATTTTCTTAAGTTTCTGTCTACATTCTTGTTCTGAAACTATTGTTGCTTTAGGTTTGTTAAAGACTACATCCCATTCTTTCATAACATAACATTCTGGGGCAGAGTCAACATAAATGACTAAACGTTTCAAATTCTCGACTGCTTTGTTATAGTCTCGAAATGGACACATATTTCTGAATGTTTGGAAGTCATAAAAATCTGAAACATCTATTCTGTACATTTTTATAAAAATAAAAAAAAATATTTTTTTTATTCTTGAGCTATTTGTTGCATTTGTTGTTCTTGAGCTATTTGTTGTTGAAGTTGTTCTTGTAATACAATACTTTCACCAGTTGCATCTTCCAATTCGAAACTTTCTGCCGTCATTGACAAATACATAGGACATAAAAGTTTTACAGGAACAAAGTTTGCGTCAACTAAGGTTAAGTTTATGTTTGCTAAAGTGTTTGAGTTTACTAAAGCTGAAAACTCTGCATTCGAATGAACAATAGGCAAACCAGCAGAGAATGTGTTATTTATACGCATAAGTATCTTTTGGTCATAGTAGTTTCTGTCGACATTCGAATAACACTTTGAACCTAAGTTTGAAACAATATATAAAATAGGTGTACTTAAAGTCAATGGAACAGACATTCCTTGTATGACACCTTTTCCTGTTATAGGAAATTGTTGGTAGTAAAAACCAGATATAAGTTTTTGTATTATAGCTCATATTGTTTATAGTAAACTCAGTCGGACATCCAAACATAATGAAACCTGCTCTAGTTGCAGCACATTTTACACCCGTACTTAAAGTATTAAATAAGTCAACAAAACCTGTTGGTGGTATATCTGAGTAAGTATCTTCATAGGAGTATTTTTTACCATTCACAACAATAAAATCTTCTGGTGTCAAAAGAGCAAAACAGGCTTTAGTCGTCATTGTGTTTAAAGTTAGTTTACAATATCGTCCTTGAGGACTTTGTAAGTTTGTTGTTATAGAATTATATGACTCAGGGTTTTTAGTCGTAATAGTATAAACCATTGTGTCTTCTGCCATTTACTTAGCAAATAAATTTTAATGAAATGTTGTGGTCGTCAAATATTTTTATAACGTCTGGGAAACTATATTTTAAGTTCAACGTTTCACCTCCTTTCATAACGTATATCTTGTCAATGACATTATATGAAACACCACAGCAACTAACGTCGGGTTCTATTTCTTTGATGTTTATATCGTCTGCCTCTGTCAAAAGTTTCAATAGTTCTTTCAAAACTTCATGAGGTGCAATGACATATGAGTTCACTTTTACAGGGTTGTGTTCGACCAAGTTTAACATTATACCTAAAGCTTGACAAATCTTCTCCTGAGTTTGAAGTTTGTCTTTCAGTTGTTGGTAGTCGTTTCGAATATCTGCAACAGAACTTAAGTCTCTGCTAACTTCAGGGTATGTTGTTGTTGTTCTTTTACAGGAACTATTGTTATACCATCTTCGTCCTCGTATGGTTTTCCCCACTTCAACATCTCTGTCTTTGACATTGACAATAACACTTTGACTGTTTGTTTGAGTTGGTGAATTTAACTTCACATCTGCCACCGCCATTAAACCTTTTGAAACACTTACGCTTCTATTTTTCGGAAATGACATTTTACTTAGAATAAAAAGATGGACGTATTCGAGTATCTCTTCGAATTGAAGCAAAAACAAAGTTTACACACACAAACAATACAAATACATTGACAGAATAGTTCTTTATACAAACAATGGAAAATGTTATAGAATAGCAGTCTTTGCTGAACCAAAATATTTTCATAAAGCAAAGAAAGTTGGTATAACCGAAATGGTGAAAGTTCTTGAAGCAGACAAAAATATAACAACAAAACTGACCGATATTTCTAAAGGAAAGTTTATAATACAATATTATGTCAAAACTGGCGTACTGTCAATATTTGACGGAGAGAAGTCAGTTCAAGAACAACTTACTGACCTGCTGCCAAAATCTGCTCGATGGAAGCTGTCGTTATGCCAATCTGAGGAGCCCCAGCAGGTTTCATCGAACGAATCTTCAAAAGAGCATCTTCCGTGAAAAGTGCTATTGGTTTTGTAAACTTCTTTGCTTTCAATTCATCTGGACCGTCTCTGTCACCAGTATATTGTATTTGAACTGTACCAACAGTTGAAATACCACCCATAAAGTCTTCTGAGTCAGCAAATGGAATGCCAAGCCAAAAGTTTGAACGGTCTCCATTTGTATATTGAGTTTTTTGACCTCCTGTATGAGTCCATACTTTCACATATGGCATAATAGAACTTTGCATTTCAGGGTTAATGGTTGTTGTGAAGTTGTTGTTAAAGTTCATAGCATCTAATGTCAAGTTGTATGACCTCATATCCTCAACTGTAGAATATTCTTCTCTTGGATAATATTTGCCATCTATGTTTATATGATATTTAATACCGGGTTGTAGAAACAAGAATAGTCATTTATAGTTCGTCTGAACAGTACAAACATAGTATCTGCATGTTTCATTGCAGTTGTTAAGGCAATATCTGTTCTTGCACCTGGGTCAGCACTTTGGTTTCCAACTTCACCTGCAAAGTCTTTGACAGATATTTGGTGTATAGGGAACATAAGTGGAACTGCAATATATTTGGCAGCTAAAGCATTTGAAATATCTGGGTCCAACATATAGACTGCAAGTCTGCTTTCTATTCTCTTGCATTCAAATTTTTCGCATGTGAACTTAACTGGGTCCCAAGCAGTTCCAGCAGCATTGAAATAATAGTTTACTTCAGTGTTGAAGTTTGAGAAACCAAAGTCTAAGTCAACTTTGTCTTTGCAAAAGTCACAGAACTTGGCTCCACCAGTTCCAGCTACAGTAAGAGTGAATGGGTCTTGTGTTGGTGCAATGACTAAGTTATTTTTGCTTGGAGTAAGTTCGATAGAAATTTTTCCTGCCCAGTTTGGCAAGTATCTTAAAAACCTGAAGATGAGGAAAGATGACAAAGGAACTCTAAGTTTCATTTTTACTTTAGTGACAGCATTTC